ACCATTGAGTTCCTCAGCACTCTCTCCATCAAGAGAATGTCCGAGTTTAACCTCGACAAGCCCGAAGACAACATAACTTTTCGCCTTGGAGGACAGGCGAGACAGATGAGCATCACTGAGTTCACAGAGGCACTCCAGATATACCCACCAGGATTTCTCACCACAGGTGGACATGGTTTTATTTCGGAGCAAATATATCATTCAAGAGCACAATCGGTCAATGATATGTGGAAAACGGTAAAACAAAACCATGTGGACAAGTCTGACCCTGCCCACTATAAAGGGAATGATCTTCTTCCCCTGTGGCGTATCATCCACAACATTATCGCTCATTCTGTGGCAGCTAGGGAGGGGAGCCCGGGGAGTGTGACCAAGCGGGATTTGAACTTTTTCCTCTCTATGGTAAAAGATCCCCCAATTCATCTTGGTATAGTCATATTGAAAACCCTACAGAAGATGACCTCCAATAAACAAATCAAGACCATCCATGGAGGTGCCTACATCACAAGGCTAGCTCGGCATTTTGGCATTGATCCGGTGGGTTCTCATTGCACCATTGCCCAGTCCACTCAACCAATCTCCCAAAAAAACCTTGCGGATCTAAATTTGTTGTCAAAGGTAAATGTTCCAACCAACACTTTCCTTTTCACAGTGAATGCTAAAACATAACTAGTCGGGATTCAAACAATCTAGGATTGATTTTGTGCAAGTTTTGGATTGCCTACTAATCTAGTTCCTTTTGAACATTGAGCAAATGTAACTAATGCTTCTGATATTGATCATGTCTGTGTTTGGTGGTTAAGGAGAATGGTGTGGTAGGCATTGTTGGCCTCCCTCATCCTGCTCGACCTCTTGCAACAGATGAGGCAAACGCATCGGAGCATGTTGTTCAGCAAATGGTCGAGGAGACTCCGGAACAACCTGCACAACATCACCAAACTACGACTCAAGCCGGACCATCCACCAACAGCTACATATCCCATTTTGAGGCATTGGGTCGGCAGAATGCCCAAATTCTGGAGCAAAATGCACTCATTCTCTCCCGCCTCGATCGAGAGAAGGAAGCTCGACGCTACATCATCGAATGCAACCATCAGATCATGAGGTCCTTGAGGATTGACTACGAACAATTCTCAAGACCTTGGGAACTATCTCCTAGGCCAACCGAGGAGATCAATGAAGAGGGAAGTGAAGAGGATGACGAGGGTAATGACGATGAGCAAAACAAGGAAAAAAATCAAGAGGACATAGGAGAGGAACAAAACAAGGAAAGCAGTGAAGAGGACAATGACACCAATGAGGAAGACAGCAGTGAAGAGGACGACGACGAGGGCAATGGCGATGACCAAAACAAGGAAAAAAATCAAGAGGTCAGAGGGAACGATGAGGAAGACAGCAGTGAAGAGGACGACGACGAGGGCAATGGCGATGACCAAAACAAGGAAAAAAATCAAGAGGAGAAAGGAGGGGAACAAAACAAGGAAAGCATTGAAGAGGTCAAAGGGACCGATGAGGAAGACAGCAGTGAAGAGGACGACGACGAGGACAATGGCGATGACCAAAACAAGGAAAAAAATCAAGAGGAGAAAGGAGAGGAACAAAACAAGGAAAGCAGTGAAGAGGACAGTGACACCAATGAGGAAGACAGCAGTGAAGAGGACGACGACAAGGGCAATGGCGATGACCAAAACAAGGAAAAAAATCAAGAGGAGAAAGGAGAGGAACAAAACAAGGAAAGCATTCAAGAGGACAAAGGGACCGATGAGGAAGACAGCAGTGAAGAGGACGACGACGAGGGCAATGGCGATGACCAAAACAAGGAAAAAAATCAAGAGGAGAAAGGAGAGGAACAAAACAAGGAAAGCATTGAAGAGGACAAAGGGACCAATGAGGAAGACAGCAGTGAAGAGGACGACGAGGGCAATGGCGATGACCAAAACAAGGAAAAAAATCAAGAGGTCAAAGGGACCAATGAGGAAGACAGCAGTGACTCTAGCGAGGACAATGAAGATGAGCAAATCCAGGAAAACAAAGACGAGGACGAGAACACTAACGAGAAAGATGGGCAGTGAAGATGAGCCAACCAAAGTCCTTAGTACTTAGCTATGTGTGTTTGCTTTTGTGCTTGTATGTTTTCCAATTAGAATATTATGATGCACCAGTGTGGGCTACATGCATCTAAACTTAAGCATTAATCGTGTTATGGATGTTTGTTTTATAAGACAAATGTAAAGCTTTGACTGCTTTTTACTTTTTGTTAACAGGGTATCTCATCTGATATGATGTACAGTTACTAGAGAAGGATCTATGTAATGCTCGTGTCAAGCTTCAAAGAACATTATGACTCATCTTTTCATAAGCTTGTAGTTTTCACAAACAGTATATTATGTTACTTACACCATTATAATAAGTACAAGGGTTAGTTGTACAGGTGCATGTCTGTGCAGACTATTTCAGGAAATCTCACGGCCAATTCTGGAAATCCCACGGCCGTGAAAGAAGACGTGGTTTTGGATATGTAATTCTGGAAATATCACGGCCGTGAGATAGGCCGTGGATGTAAAAACGCACGTCTCAGTTTCCCAGAGGGTTTCACGGGTTGCCTTCGACATTATCACGGCCGTGAGATGAGCCGTGTTTTGTATTTGAATGCTGTACTTCTCACGGCTCATCTGTTTATTCTCCGGGCGTGAGAATAAGTCGTGTGATTGTCTGGAGATTGAAAACTACTCTTTGATTGTCACGGGTCATGTCACGCCCGTGAGATGAGCAGTGTTTCCTAAAAATTGTACCTACACTTTCTAGAGTTGTACCTTTACACTAAATTTAAAGTTGTACCTACACTTTCCTAAAAATCTTCTATGGTACAATTAAAAATTGTACCTATACACTATAGTACAACTTAATGTTGTACCTACACTTTCAAACAAATCCCTCTATGGTACAACTCAAAATTGTACCTATACTAATGGTACAACTTTTAGTTGTACCTACACTTTCTCAAAATCCTTCTATGGTACAACCCAAACTTGTACCTATACCATGGTACAACTTTAAGTTGTACCTACACTTTCTAAAAATCGTTCTATGGTACAACCCAAACTTGTACCTATACCATGGTACAACTTTAAGTTGTACCTACACTTTTTCAAAATCCTTCTATGGTACAACCCAAACTTGTACCTATACTAATGGTACAACCTTAAGTTGTACCTACACTTTCTAATAAATCTCTTATGGTACAACTCAAAATTGTACCTATACTAATGGTACAACTTTAAGTTGTACCTACACTTTCTAATAAATCTCTTTATGGTACAACTCAAAATTGTACCTATACTGATGGTACAACTTTTAGTTGTACCTACACTTTTTCAAAATCCTTCTATGGTACAAACCAAACTTGTACCTATACTATGGTACAACTTTATGTTGTACCTACACTTTCTAACAAATCCCTTTAAGGTACAACTAAAAATTGTACCTATACGAATGGTACAACCTTAAGTTGTACCTACACTTTCTAACAAATCCCTTTATGGTACAACTAAAAATTGTACCTATACTAATGGTACAGCCTTAAGTTGTACCTACACTTTTTCAAAATCCTTCTATGGTACAACCCAAACTTGTACCTAAATATGGTACAATTTTAAGTTGTACCTACACATTCTAATAAATCCCTTTATGGTACAACTCAAAATTGTACCTATACTAATGGTACAACTTTAAGTTGTACCTACACTTTCTAATAAATCTCTTTATGGTACAACTCAAAATTGTACCTATACTAATGGTACAACTTTTAGTTGTACCTACACTTTTTCAAAATCCTTCTATGGTACAACCCAAACTTGTACCTATACAATGGTACAACTTTAAGTTGTACCTACACTTTCTAAAAATCCTTCTATGGTACAACCCAAAATTGTACCTATACCATGGTACAAATTTAAGTTGTACCTACACTTTCTAACAAATCCCTTATGGTACAACTAAAAATTGTACCTATACTAATGGTACAACCTTAAGTTGTACCTACACTTTCTCAAAATTCTTTAATGGTACAACCCAAACTTGTAACTATAATATGGTACAATTTTGAGTTGTACCTACACTTTCTAATAAATCCCTTCATGGTACAACTCAAAATTGTACCTATACTAATGGTACAATTTTAAGTTGTACCTACACTTTGTGAAACAAATTCTTCAATGGTACAGCTGAAACTTGTACCTATACTAATGGTACAACTTTAAGTTGTACCTACACTTGTATACATTGATTCATTATTTACAAGATTGCCATTAATGATGTGGGACCAGTCATTTAGTGGGTTTACCTCCTCAACAGGTCACCTTTTTTTTTGTTTTTTATAGCATGGGTGCTATAGAGCACACTAGAAGGGCTCGTAATACCAATATATATTTGGTTACCACATAATACCATATGGTATAATGTGGTAATACCAATATATATTACCTAAAAGAAATGGGAAAAAACAAAAGGAGGGAGAGAAAAAAAACTTGTCTTCTGTCTCATCTCATTTCATCCGCAACCAAAGAACACCAAACGCCAAAAAAGAAGAAAGATCGAAATTAAAGCCAACGAGTTGATGAAGAGAAGAAACGCAATTAAAGAGGGTGACTTCAATTTTTATTAGTCGATTGCTAGAGAAAAAAATAAAGATGGAAGAGAGCAGATATAGATTTGAAAAAGAGATTGTGAGAGAAAAAGTAAGAGAGAAGGAATAGAGAAAGGATGTGAAAAGAGATTGGAAAAAAGAAGAGAGAAAGAAGAAAATAAAGTGGCAGAGAAAATGTTATTCTTTCTTTTTCATTGAAAAGTCAGTCATTGAAATGCGGAATAAATAAAAAAAATTAAAAATACAAAAATGGACAAAAATGCCCCTCCCACCTTCGCGTCCAGCCAACCACCCGATTGCTCCATTCCAGATCTACGATTCCCGTGTATTTAGGTTACTGACCCTATCCCAAACCGCCCGAAAGACATAGCAGCCGAAGCAAACCTCTCCTTCCCTCTTCGTTCTTCGTCTTCAAGCCGAACCCTCGCTGTCGAAGAACATTTTCATTTCCTTCCCTCTTCTTCTTGGAGGCTCCCCTCTCCGTGGAAGAAGATTTCTTCACCCAGCTGTCCGCCGATTCACCCGCCGTGGTACTTCTCTCGTCAACATCCTCCTTTCCGGCGGTAAGTATTCTGCCTTTTAGTTTTCTTTTGCTTATTGTTCCGCAGATCTCCTACGAATCTCATTCTTTAACTCTTACATGGATCCCTGGTTGTTCTTGGTTCTGTTTGCTAAGTGGCTATGAGCTAAATTGATTGTGACTGCAATTTGGTGCTGTTTGTCAGTTTGTATCGGTAGATTTGTGCTTTCCAGATGCGATCTGTTTGCTTTGGACATTTCATGTGAATTTCAGTGATTCTCACTGATTCTTTGCATTGCAGCTAGCTCATTATCATCACCGCAACTTTAGTTAACAGCACATGGGATCTGCTGCTGAATCTGCGACCATGGTGAGACTCTTCCTTTCTTGTTGTTTCCCCTAATTTTGGTTTCCGCCAGTTTGGTTTAGTCGCGTATTGTCGCTTCATACCTTATTGCATTGGGCCTCAAACTTCCAACTTCAACGACAAAGAATTATAATGGTAGTCTCAAAGTTTAACCTTCTGGAGAACAAGCTCTCTTACCAGTATGCGATTCACAAGACTTAAATGCAATGCCAAAATATTTCCTTCTCCATTTTCTCTGTTCATAATCTTATGATGCCTGTGGATGCTGGCCATGTGCTATGTTAATCTTATCACTCTCATGTGTCTGATTGTAGACAACCCATCGAAGTTTAGCTGAGAAGAAGCCTACTGTTGTTTTTGTGTTGGGTGAGTATTTTTCTTTTCTTAGTTTATGTGCTTACTTTGGTAGTTAAGTTTAATGAGCTATGGTTCTACTTGGTTCTTTGGCTTCTGAAAGTGGACATTTATACGCCAAGCTTAACCTTCGTTCCTTCTATGATGAATTCAATGGTGTCATGTACTGGCCTATCTGTATCTCTATTCTAGTTATTGTCTTCCCTGCTCATCTGCACGATTGCACAGAATAAGAAATATGGCCAGTTATGTTCTCGATGCAGACTTGGTCTTGCATTGAATAAGAAATATCTGGTCATTGATATTCTCTACGTGTAATTAGGTTTGATTCTTTGTTTGACTCCTTAATCTTCATTCTTATAACCCTTAGATTTCTAAGATTCTATCTCATTTGCGTTGTAAATTTCCATCTGACTTATAAGGTGGCCCGGGCAGCGGAAAGGGTACGCAATGTGCAAATATTGTTGAGCACTTTGGTTATACACATCTTAGTGCAGGCGATCTTCTTCGGGAAGAAATCAAGTCTGGCTCTGAAAATGGGTATGACGTGCACTAATGGAGCTATTTAAGAGCTGATATCTGTCTAATCTATGGAAGCTTGCCCAAGTTCATAAATTTGGCTTCTTCTTTGTCTTCATTGTTTCTTGCCATCATAATCTCACAGCTAGTACATGTTTTATTTGGGGGGCTACTAAGTTAGCTTTGATAGGATTCTCAAAGTGTTACTAATAGTAACCTGTGGTTTGGGACTGTCTAATATGTTCACATTCCACACTGGAAAAATAGCTGTTTCCTCGTCTTGTTTGGATTTTTCTTCTGCCATTACAAATACAACTTTGTTTCTTGTTATTCTGGATGCTAATATAAGATTGCCTCTTTTGATGTGCAGAACCATGATCCAGACGATGATTAAGGAGGGAAAGATTGTGCCTTCAGAGGTTACAATAAAGCTCCTCGATAAAGCAATACTGGGTATTGACAACGACAAATTCCTAATTGATGGTTTCCCTAGGAATGAAGAAAACCGGGCTGCTTTCGAAGCTGTTGTAAGACTCTTGTAGAAGCCTGTTTCTATCTTATCCAAGGAGATTGATATAATCTTTTGACCAGTGGAATGTTGTGATTATGTAGACAAAAATCGAGCCAGAATTAGTCCTCTTTTTTGATTGCCCAGAAGAAGAGATGGAGAGGCGACTTCTGAGTAGGAACCAGGTTGAGTTAATGTTACTTTTTTTTTTGTTGTCTCTCCACCCTTTTCTCCTGAACAGGCTTATACGTTGTTAGCCGTTTACTCTCCTTTTCAACTATTACTGATTTCCTTCCATTTTGTAACAATGAAGGGAAGAGAAGATGATAACATTGAAACGATAAGGAAGCGGTTCAAGGTCTTTCTGGATTCTAGTCTTCCGGTGGTTGAGTACTATGCTGCCAAGGGCAAAGTTAAGAAGGTAAATCATTTTACCTCCTGATGTATGGGTTTACATTGTAATTTTGTTGGATCTCTGTTCTTTTCAAGTTAAATCATCGATTTTGTTTGTTTGGTCTTCAGATTGATGCTTCCAAGCCGGTCCAAGAGGTTTTTGCGGCGGTTAAAACCATTTTTACACCAAAGGATGATAAGGTAAAGCACCGCAAGTGTGCCATCTTATAATTCACCGAACATATTCGGATGTATAATTGTGGATACAAACGTTTGAGTGTATATTTGTTGCCTGAAACAAGGCATAAGAAATATAGATCAAGCATTGAGCTTTGTGTGTTATTTTCCTAGTATTCCTCGTCTTGAATGACTTATCTCTAAAGGTCGGGCCTACATGGATTTGGATGCTCAATTCTAACAGAAGTTTAATAATGAATTATTAGGTGGCCTTGAAAATTCTATAGTGACTGTGCCAGTAAGCCTCATTGCTCAGAAATGCAACAAGTGCGAGTTGTCTGACTATGATATTTATTGTTTGTTGCAAATCAGTCAGTGTGGCCGGTTTTGGGTGGACATTGCTATATGACTAAGTTGAAGAATCAAAGTAGAAATTGGTGTGGAAAGGGTATAGAGTTAGAGCCGGACCAATAAGACCCTTCCCTAGGAATTTCATTGCTGGGATGCTCCGCAATGGCGCAGCATCGAACCTTGTCCCATATTCTCAAAATGGCATTTCCTTTGGTGCCAAAAAGACGGGCAAAGGTTAAAATTGAAATAGAAGGAAACGAAAAGGTATTTAGGCGCCAAGAAGATGCTCAAAGGTTGAGTTGAGCTTTGGGCATCTAGAATTGGTGAGTCCTTTTGTCGATTTGTCTGTATACACTTTTCTCCTGATTCTGGAATCATGTTTTCTGCAGGCTGCTAATAATGTCAAAGAGTCTCACGGCAAGTAGCAGAATTTGCAGACGCGACTCCTTCTGAGGTAAGTAAGCACCTTGTCTCGTCTCTATCCGCCATTTTTTAAGGTGGCTCATGACAGCTCGAGGTTTCAGGAGCCATATCTGTATTTGAATAGATTATGGGGAATGATCCCTTGGATGTTATTAATTTGCATATTTAATAAGTTTCCGTGGACAGGAATTGTTAATGGGTTGTATGCCATGAAATGGTGCGTCTTTCTACGTTGCAGGTGGTGTTTTTACTTCTATACTATACTGGATGAGGAAGCTACATTTTGTTCTGTTGTTCGAGTTGCCTATTGCGGCTTGTGTTTACAACAGGTCATATAGTGGTATTTAACGATTAAAGATACAATTTAACCATTCATAAAAAAAAAAAAAAAGAAGGGGGAAAAAAAGGAGATAGAGAAAAAAAGATAGAAGCAACACTGCTGGTGTTGTCCATCCTTATTCTTCTTGCTAGTAAGAACCGTTGCTGGTTTAACTGTGATGAATAAAAATGGGGGATTAGGAGATAGATATATTTTATGTTATCTTCTCCTCCCTTTGATGCTTTTTCTTTTCTGAAAATATCTGTAATGTCAGCTGAAGAGCGAATGACTTGTTAGTATGTGAAGTTTATCAATCAGTTGATGGACGGTGAATGGTTCAAGTGCACCAGCACAAGTCTAGAAGGGCTGTGTGATTCGTTTTTCTGCTTTTCTTTCTTTTCCGCATGGAATTTGGTTCTGATGCATTTCCCTCCGAGCCAATTGCTTTCTACCTTTTTGCCAGTGGGGAAGAAAATAAAGATTAGCCCACAAGTAAGATAAAAGCAAAAAGAAGAATAAGATTATGCAGTGGATGGATACATTAGCATGGAGATGATAGGCATGCAGCCAGCCATTTTTTTCTCTAGTTTAATACAAATTAGGTGTCCTGATCTCGTGTTTCGTGTTTAAGAAGTTTTCATTTCTATAGGCATGGTTCAAAAAGGTGCACTTAAACTCATATTTAGGCATGTGTAGATGTTAAGTGATGTTTAAACACATCACTTAGGGGTTCCGTGTCTAATTAGATATAGAGTGTTTTGGATCGGAACCCCAAAGAAGAACCCTAAATTTCAAACCCAACCAAGCTCTCATTTTCTCTCTCCCAGCTGCTTTCTATTTGTACAGTCTAAGTGCAAACATCATGGTTGAAGATCATGGTCGTGATGTCGATAGCTCGATCGTGATCTCGTCCCAAGACGCTGAGTTTTTTCCCAACTTCACGGTCTGCTGGCCAAGATCATGGTCTTGAGACTGTGATCTCGACCCCATCAGTGAGCTTTTGGAACCCTCATGTTCCTTCAATGATCAATTTTCACGGGCTGGGGCGATGATTCTCCCAGCCTGTGATCTATGCACTTTCTTCATACTTTGGCACTTTCCGATCTCTAATCGTCCCAAATTCTTCCTCGACCTTTGCATATGTGCTAAGACCTGAAAATATAAAAAGGAACACAACCGTGCAAAATAGGTTGTGGAGCAAAGAATACAAAGTCAAACGATCGAGAAATGAAGGGTAAAATATGTGTAATTATGCCCGAATCAAACTCCAACGCTGTTGAACGTTTGCTTGTCGCCAAGCAAACCTAATCACACACAAGGTAATCTTTCTACCTAAAACACAATAACTCGAGAACATGTCAATGGGTACAAAGTAAATGAATCTCAATGTCTTTTTGGCTACTAAGCTCTTCACGAAGCGAGAGTGGGAGCAAGAGTGTGATTATTAATATTATATCATTTAAATTCACTAATAGTATCAACTTTTGACAAAATAGTCACATGTCACATGAAAAATGAGACTATACAAAAGTTCGAAAGATAAATACAATGCCAAACAAGAAACATCGCACTTCAATGACTACTTCGTCCCGAATATCACAATAAAACTCACATTAGATCCCAAGTATAAACCTTAATTGGGTGCAATATAGGGCAAGTATGTTTAATATCAACTCGGGCCGACTTTTGACAAAATAGTCACATGTCACATGAAAAATGAGACTATATAAAAGTTCCAAAGATAAATACAATGCCAAACAAGAGACATCGCACTTCAATGACTACTTCGTCCCGAATATCACAATAAAACTCACATTAGATCCCAAGTATAAACCTTAATTGGGTGCAATATAGGGCAAGTATGTTTAATATCAACCCGGGCCGGTCCATGTACTCCTACTTCGATTGTTTGAAACATTATCTAGCGATTAGTTGTTTGTTGAAAACTATGATCTACAATTAAAACGATCGTAAAGGTAATTGGTTTTCACTCTAAATGAGAAGGATACCATGACTTGTCGGAATGAATGAAAACTTGTGGTGGAGGTGGTTGTGGACCCCAAGGGACGTGCAGCTAGTGATGGAACATCACTCTCTCTGTCTCTAGGTCAAGGAATTCGGATTAAGCTACCAAGGTAGCTCTCTTGGCCTAATATCGACTAAGGACTGCCTAAACTTCTCTCTCGAATCGAAGTCCAGACGGCGAAAACACAACCAACCTAGGTGCTAATACGAACAAGGAGGGTTGCCCTACATTAACCTAGATATGAGATAAGATTTTCCTAAGAAAACCCAGCTTTACAAGCCACTTTCCCAAATCCTTGCCTTGGAGTGAAACCCTAACCTCTTCTTCCTTCTTGCTCGGCACTTTCTATCTCAAGAATGTTGGAGAAGAAGGTTTTCTCACTGAAGGTCTCCTCCTCTCTTCTCCTGCAGCTCAATCCTCTTTTTATACCCAAGTCGATCTCAAATCACGGTCCCAGTTCACGGCCATGAACATATAGCGGGGACCGTGATCACGAACAAAAACACACCACATCATTTAGTCTCTTCACGGTCTCTGGCCTGGGATCACAGTCTTACGACCGTGAACTGACTTGACTCCAGTGAGACCGAAATGACTCTGGATGCATGGCGGTTCACGGTTAACAGCTTCAGTTCACGGTCTTTCTGACCGTGAACTATCTGCTTCTGCCGTGATCTGCGGCAGCCTCCATCCTTTGACACGATTTTCCGTCTTTATGTCCAACTTCCAACTCTGGGGCGGGTTCCACTTGCTTGAGTCCGAAACATGCTAAAACAAGGCAAAACCTAGCGTAAAACCAAACCTCTCGGAGTGCAAATGCCTCAAACGCCTAAGGAAAATGGGGATAAAAAGTGTACAATTAGGCCCGAATTACTCCCCCACACTTAGACGTTTGCTTGTCACCAAGCAAACCATTCTTAGTCAATGTAATATCTCAACCTAACAAAATAACTTGGAGACAAAAACGTGAACTGAGTGAAAACAGGGCATGTCCAAAATTTCAAAATACAACCTAATCAATCGTGCCCCTAATTCAAACACACTCAAAATCCAATCAAACAGACGCAACATGCTAGCACGGTGATAACCAATCATCCACTTGAACTCTTTACTCAATCACAAGAAGAGAAAATGAGGAAAAGAAAACAAACCGACGTTGTAAGGCCTCCCAACAAGCGCTAGTTTTAATGTCACTAGCTCGACGTAGCGGATCTATCATGCTTGAGAGGATGAAGCCACCGAGAGTGGATCCGCCACGGTGTTGGGGCGAGGTTTGTTACCTCCCCACTTAAGCTCCATAGGGTGGCCCTCTTGGCCATTTACCTTTGCTTTGCTCTTATCCTTCTTGCGGACATAAGCGCGATTAATTTTTTCTCTCCATGTTCCTTTTTTTCTTCCTTCGGGTTTGATACCCTCCTCAATTTCCAGTTTTCACATCACCACAAAGAACACGAGTAATAGTGGGGTTTGCCTTGAGAGGCTCACTTCCACTTCCAATCATACCACTCGAGTCCATTTTCTTCACATCATCATTCTTAGCCTTAGGATCAAATGAAAGAGTAAGTTGCTCCTCTCCATCTCTCAAAATCATAGTTACCTCATTAACATCTATGAAGGCCTTGGCAGTGGCAAGGAAGGGGCGACCTTGTATGAGTGGCATATCCGAATCTTCACTGATATCAAGGATAACAAAATCCGTCAGATAGTAGAATTTGCCAACTCTCACTAGGACATCCTCCACAATACCTCTAGGACTAATGACAGAGCGATCGGCCGATCTGACACTAAGCCTAGTAGTCTTTAAATCACCCAAATGCAACTTTCTAAAAAGCTTGTAAGGCATCACATTAATGCTTGCTCCTAAGTCCGCCAAGGAGTTTTTAATATGATGATTTCCGATGCAAAGAGGTTAGTAAAACTATCTGGATCCGGTTGCTTTTTAGGCAACTTTTTGAGGATGAAGGCGGCGCATTCCTCGCGTAAGGTGACATTGGCGAGGTCTTCATATTTTGGCTTCTTGGCGAAGCCCCTTGAGGTATTTGACATACCTCGGCATGTGCGCCATGGCTTCCAAGAACGGAATGGTGATGCAGAGCTTCTTGAGCATCTCCATGAATCCACCATATTCTGCCTCCAATCGATCCTTGTGCATCCTCGTGGGGAAAGGAAAAGGAGGCTTGTACAACCAGTTATGGTGGCATCAGCAATGCCTTCTTAGGCTCTCCTTCCTCTCCTCCCACGTCTTCTTGATCATCGACCGTTGAATGCGTCTTCTCTTCTTTGGTTACTTCTTTTGCAACAACTTTCGGAGTTACCTTCCCGCTTCTAAATTGGATAGCATTCACCCTAGCATTTTGATCTCAGGGTTGGCGATAGTTTGGGAAGGTAGAGCTCCCCTTGGTCTCTCGGTGAGGATCCCGACAAGATTACCAATTTGCACCTCCAAGTTTTGAAGGCTTTCTTGGTGGCTCCTCAATCCCGCCTCAACTGAAGAAAAATTTGTTGTTTCCACATCCATAAATTGCTCAATCTTCTCAAACTTTTGAGTGCTCGTGCTCTCGAAAGTTTTCACTATGTATTCAAGCTTTGCAAACTTATATTGTTGTTGGACTTGAGTTTGGAATGGTTGTTGGAAGTTAGAGCCTTGGAATTGAGGCCTTTGTTGAATGAAAGGAGGCCTTGGTTGATAACTTCTCGTCAGTCCTTGGAAACCGAGGATTCTTGGGTTGGTAGGAGAGGACCAAGAGAAATTGGAATGATTTCGCCACCCCGGGTTGTAAGTGTTACTATAGGGGTTGTTCCCCCTATCATTCGCGATGAAACTCGCTTGCTCCTCGGGGGTGCTTGTTTCCTTCATCACTTGACAATCCACAATTTCATGGTTGGTACTGGAACACCAATCGCAAGACATCAATGATTTCTTCACTTGCTTCTTGTCTTCCATGAGCGCATCAGTTAAGCGGTCAAACTTTGCTTCAAGTGGAGCACTCGCTCCTACACTTTGTACTACTCTTCTGGTACTCTTCTTACCACTCCTCGTCAAAACCCAATCATACCCTTTTGTCTCTATGTCCTCGAGAAACTCGGTCACTTCGGGTGGAGTCTTATTCATCAACTTCCCTTGACATAAAGAGTCAATGAGAATCTTGTCCTCTTGGTGGAGACTGCCATAGAAGGTCTCGGTCCAAAATTTCTCCTTGAATCAATGGTGTGGGAATTGGAGGAAGCAATCAGAGTATCTCTCCCATGCATCCCTCAACAACTCATCCTCCTCTTGCTCGAAATGAGTGATCTTCTTGGACCACTCTGCCATCTTGGAAGGACGACAATATTGGGTCATGAACTTGTTGAGCATGTCATCCCACGAGGTGATTGAGAGGGCTGGTCTATTGTTGAGCTATCGCTCTGTCATTAGTCCTACGGGCATTGTGGAGGACGTGCTAATATGAGTGGCAAAATTATATATGTTATCCAACGGATGTTGTGATCCTTGATATAAGTGAAGATTCGGAAGTGCTACTCATACTA